AGCAGCATGCAAGAAAGCTTTTACACTTATAAATACAGGTTTAATTGAACTAGACTTATGACTCTCTATTTGATTAACTACAGTGTTAGTTATACTTTTAGAGAAAGTAAGAGTTCGGAAAATCTAATCTATTTGAGGGTTGTATTTTTTTAACCACGATAAATCTAAAATGATTGGATTAGAGGGAGATCTAATGATATTAAATACTACAAAGCTATTATGACTATAGATTATTACTTCTATAAAAAGAATTTTATGAATAATATCTCCAGAAGATAATGGACGACCATCTATGACTTCTACATGAATAGGTTTAGTTTTCTTTATTAAAGATATGCTATGTTTTTTAGTAAATTCTTTATCTAAGAAACATGCTGAGGCTCCTAAATCTAACAAGACAGAGGCTTTGTAATATTTAGGTCCTAAAATAATATTTAATGTAAAACAAAGAGAGGGCTCTGAGGAGAAAATAAGACCTTTACTAGATGTTGTGCAAGGTTCCAGCCGCATAGTCCCTATTGTTGCTGGACAAATTTGTTTTTTGACATATTGTCTTCTTTCACAACCATACTCTTTATTTTGTGATTGCATCATTTCTTTGGATAATGTTGAGCATTGTGCTTTGGTTCTCCACAATATAAACATAATCCTTCTTGATGATGACTCGTCTTTTCTTGCTCAATAAGAGGTTTGAAACGTATTGCATCAATTTGCATATCCTCTACTTTCGAATGTATGTGTTGAAGAGGTGTTGGTGTTGCCATTGAATTATAGTAACGTTGAGGTCCACTTGTACGGTTCTCAGATCGAAATTTAAAAAGGCGATTGTCGCACTTCACAGCAAAGTCAATTGCTTGATTCAGTGTTTGAGGATCAGATAAGTTGAGCATTAATTTTTTTACCTTATATTGTAATCCGTAGAAAAATTGGCTATTAAATGCAGCATCATCCCACTTGATATCAGTTATAAGTTGTCGAAATTGTAAAGCATATAACGTTACTTATCGATTGCCTTGTCGTAAAATACAGATCTTATTGGTTGCAATACGAATTGCATCATGTTCTCCATACATAGATTGAAACTCTGCCAGAAAAGCCTCTAGATTATCCAATATTGGATCTCGTCGTTCAAAGAAAAATGAAAACCACGATAGTGCTGAATTTGAAAGAAGCGTACCAATGAATCTAATTTACGATCCTGGAGTTGGATAGCTTTGGGGTTGAAGTTCAATCATAAATTGTACTTGATTGATAAATCCTCGAAACTTGGATCTGGTACCATCAAACTTCTCGGGTAGGGCAATTCTTGGTTCTCTAACACTGAAGGGACATTCCACCATAGGAGAAAGGACATGATTTGGTGCAGATGTTGAAGCAGCTCCAAGCATTTCTATATCTTCACTTCCTACCAATCTTGTTGCTCCTTGTGGTGGTAAATTGAATTCATGCATTGCAAGCATTAACTCCTTCAATTGCTCTTGCATTTGTGCTATTGCATTCTTTTTTTCAACAAGTTCTGCCATGATAATCCTTAGAAAAGAGAAGATGTCTAATATTGCTCAAGACAAATAGAAGAGAGGACTTGAGAACAAAGAAAATACTAAGGACAATATCTGTTTAGAAGAGGGTAATCCGCAACTTCTAATGTGCTTATATCTTATCAAGAAAAAGGGGTAATCCACTCTTAATCAAGATTAGACAAAGCTCTGATATTGTAGGTGTACTCTTGTCAATCTGATAAGGATAAGAATTCAATGAAAAAAGTAATTCAGACAAGTGAGCCTTCTTTCAAAGAAAGGTAACAAAATATAAATAACCAAGTATGTATATTGAAAGAAAAAGTGGAATGGCTATTGCCAAAAGACAAGAAAACTATAGACCCTTGAAACTAGACTGGAAGCAAGAAAGGAGTTGACAAGAGTGAAGAAGGCTTCACTCTTGTCTCTATATATACTATCTAACTAGGGGCTACGTGGCGACGTTCTATAGGACCTCCAATATGTGTTGACTTTGTAGGACACATGCTTTGACTTACAAGGCAAGTTTTTCTACGTGTAGGCCACATATTTAGCTTGATCTTCAAGCTAACAACATGTGTGGTACATGGCCAACTTGTTGACCATGTTTCTAATCCAAAAAGTCAATTAAAGACACCTATGAAGTCAAAGCAGCATCTATGAAGCTTCCATATTAAATACTATAGAATTAACTTACTTTTACCTAATTTTACTTACTTCCACGTATTTGTATATGTAATTACTAGCTTATATGAGTATGTCCATGACAAAGACTTGGCATGCAACCCACGCAAAGATTCAAATAGAACTCAACAACTCCATTTCACCAAAGACACCATAAGGTAGCAGCATATAATTTCTAATAATATCAATCTTCAACTAGACACAAATCAAGAAGACAATGTAACCATAGCCACGAATATTGACAAAGAACTCCAAGTCATTATCCAATAAAATTTTGCAGATATTAAACACAAAAAAGACAAAGCACAAATAGTTGTTATAATTACAATTGCACAATGCAATTTAACTCAAATAGTTGAGCACTTGATTAGAATGTAAGAAGTATGGGGATTGATATTCCACTTCTCCATATTGATTTGAATCTTTTGACAAATGAATCTAATGAAGACCACTTTTTGCAGCATTGAGTTTCACAATTCATTTTGCATGATTTAAGATGAATGTTGTAAGTCATTTTAATATATCAATTTCTTTTCACTAATATATATTTATTGGTTAAGGTATTATAAGGATCTGGAGGATCAACCAAAAGCTTAAATATCCTAGTAATTTATTTATAAAAAAATAAAAATGCAATTTACCATATAAATTGAGTAGGTATGTTGAAATTCACTGTATAGTTGTTGAACGCTCCATGTGCATTTCAAAAGCTATAACAGAATCCACCAGACTTAATTTGGACTATCATTTCCCTAAAACACTGTCTATACTCTGATCCGTTTAAAAGAGCTAGTAATAAAGAATAAAGGAGTACATTGTACATCTAAAATGTCTTTATCATACATTCTTACAACTAATACGTCATCATCATCATACTATTTTCATATATATATATATATATATATCTATAGACTTGGAACGGCCTATTTACTACTTTCCTAACAAAATCCACCAGACTTAACTTGGACTATCATTTCATATATATATATATATATACATTTAATGTTCGTACCTATATATATATATATATATATATATTCTACATGAGGTTTTAATCAGTGGGGTAGATGTGGCGAAGGGAACTGGGTGCGGCGTGGGACTGTAGAGGCGGAAGGGACAACATCGATCCCACTCACACTGAAACAATGCAGAGTGGACCATGAATGCGAAGTGACGGAGGAATGCGGTGAGAATCTCGAGAGCCATGCAACGAACAAGTTCCCAATCCTGCACTGAGTGAGTGCTTTCAATGCAGTTCGACAAGCCGTGGTAAACCTTCCTGCGGCGTTGAATCTAGATGTCGATAGAGCCACAAGCTGCTGTTGCGAAAGAGACTATCCTGTCAGAACGTGGTGGTCGCGTTCATCGTGCGTCTGATCGGCACTACTGTGTCGAACCTAGACACCTTGATCGCGTTTCTGGTCACGTGTTCCCGGGTGCAGGTGGCGCGGCAAGATCTGCGGTGCTCTGTCCGCGGTTAATCGTACCGTTGCCGGATTGGCTGCGGAACCCATGGGAGAGCTTCACACTGGGCATTGTCTCCACAGTTCGAAGTATGTGTAAGAAAAAAATTCACCATGTTGTGTCCGTTTGTCTCTGCACGCGCTGTTAACGACGATGAGCAAAACGGGCTTTAGTACTCACACATCAGTGCTCGTGACCCGACTGTCAAGTCCTGCCGCTTTGAATGATAGTGTTGGAGCTGCGGCTTACAATCGTTTCATTACAACCTCCGCCGCAGTAATGGCGCTGAACAATGAATGAAATTCCGGAAGGGATGGGCTCTCCGGAATCTGCGATTTGTAACAGTGTGTATGCAGGAAGGCAAAACAAGCTCCGGACATGTGCTTGGGACCGACAGAGGGTTATAAATAAGGCGAAGGATTCTGTAGCTGCTGTGGCATTACGGTGGGTCTATGCGCAGCTTTCCAAGTGCGTTGTTGGAACTTCGATCCGTCAGCTTCCCAGTGCGTACTCCTAACCCGTGCTATTTGGTGATACCCTGTAGTCCTGCTCTATCCTGGTTGTTGTTCTGTAAAATGTCGAGATGAGCGGTTCTTTTGCCACGGAAAAGTGCTTTACGGAGAGTGCTTTCCTAGTTTTCTCTGTCAACGGAAAATTTGTTTCACATGGGCGCGTCCAAGACTTCCAACTTCTGACGCTGACGAATTATTAATTTACTCGTATTGGTTGGATTCCGAAAAGCGAACGCGACACTAGCATTCACTAGCTAAAATGATAACTCAGGCTGGTTCCAGAACAGCTATCTTCTACAGGATCCAGCGGTGAACGTCGGTAAATGGATGTGGTCGATTGTCTAGATTGTGGCTGAGTGACTTGTTCTGATTGTTCTAAACGACCCAACAGAGCTAATGTATTATCTTCCTGTTCTCATTCAGTTTTTTGCTATGGACTACGTATCAGCTCATATCATTTTGTTCAGAAAGAGAGCTCTAATATTGCAGCTTTGAAATTTGTCTCCCCCGGTGTGCTAGGGGCATCTTCGTTAGAAACAAGCACCACATCAACTTTCCAGCCGTGCGCAATCTGGCATGGACATTTGCTCGGTCTTTACGGAAGTATCATCTGAAGGTCATTGGTCTGAGCCGTCCCCTAATTGTTCGGCATACTGGACGTCTGTCGTTCAATAAAGATTGGGTTGGTAGCGGAGAGGGCCCACTTCTATCCGCGTAAAGGGCGAATTTGTTAATGTCGTTCATTCCGAAAAGCCCGTGGAATTGTCTCTTACCTCTCAACATGTACCAAACGTTAGACATGTATCAGATTGTGGTGCCTACGAATTCCCACTTGTTGTGGAGACAATCTGACCATACTTACTGGTTGGTGTGCTCTACAGTCTTGGCTTCTGGTATGCCCTATCAACTCCGACACTCCCCGTGTCTGTAATGCGGCGCTCAGTGGACTCACAGTAGAGTCAATCCTTCAAGTTGTTATCAAAGCTTTTGCGAACCCCATGAGTATAATCAGAGTAGGGCCTTTGTGGCGTGTGATCATTAATGGATAAATCGTGTGAAGTCTTCCCTCTTCTGAATGCTTCAGTCTCTTCGACGCAAGTTAGAAACTAACGAACTGATCGTTTGGCATTGACTTTGGGTTCTGGCATCAGCAATTATTTGGCGTCTAAGTGGATGGCATCGATCCAAATTCGAGGACGTGATTATATTCTTACAACGGTTGCGAGTTTTGGTAATATGTAATCTTTCTGGCCCACAATTTAGTAAAAGATATGGCGGTGGACACTTCTACTCCGGCCCTCACTTCTGCAATTCCACACACCAAGGTACTTGCACTTTCATTAAACTCGCGTTCTTGCAGATTCACATTACTTGAAAAGCACAAAATTACACCCTTCTCAGTTGTCTACGATGCACTTGCTTCGGCGTACTGTATCCTCCACGCGATGGACTGGATAGGCTGTGCACGGGGTTGGTGAATCTGAAAACTGCTCTATCACTCGGACACATTGTTTTTGTAGCCCACACGATGATTAGTTCTCTTAGCGCATTTTTCAATCCCTCAGTGCGAAGCGGAGGCGATCATTAACTTTATTTATCTTTTTCTTGAGTTGAGGGCGTTCTAGATGCACTCTGGAACCGAAAATGTGCTTGAATTTTGTGTCTAGCAGGAAACAAAAAAAACCCTACCCATAAAAGCTTGGTATTACAACGAAAACGATGATCACCCGAGCAAGCCTCACCAGTATTCTCCCAATCGAGAAGTGTCGACCGATCATCTCCAGAGTAAGTCCAGAATCATTTTCTCCTCTGATTATGTTAGAACTTACAGACTCTTGGGGGAAAAATGCACGTCACCGAATCTGTCCTTATTAGTCCATGACACATGTGTGTTAATGTTCGTAGACTCTTAGGATTGTCATAGTTCGAATGTACAGGTGGCGCTAGGAACCAAGCTCAAGTTTACAGCTGCGCAGCGAATGTTTGTTTTGGTTCAAGCTTACATATAAAACTGTCTGGAATCCTGAATACAATCATGTTCTCTTCCCGATTGCTGTAGAAGGAAATTCGCTTTCCGACCACAGCGATGGTGCTAATATATATACATGTCGCTCCTCCCGCTTGCAGAGCTGGGGGTCCTCACATGGACCGAAATCGAAGCCGACGGTTATGAACAAAATAAATTCCTGAACAAAATTAAGGTTTCACGCTGTTACAGCTACGAGGTAATGTTCGAACAGTAACTAGCCATTACTGGTGTCAACGGTGCGGTTTTCTTTCGAACTGTGCAGAAGTTAACCTAGATGGAAGAGGAGAATTTAGTCTGTTATATGTTTGTTGACTTATTATATCTTCTGCATCGTACAGGAGGTAATAACTGTAGCGCCTGGAAAGCTACCGAATTTTGAGGCGAACACGAAGAAGTTTTTTATGGAGCACTTGCACGACCACGAGGAGATTCGATTCATACTCGATGGCATAGGTGGATTCCTTGAATTCCTTCAGTTTTCCATCACTTGATTCCATGTTAAAGTTACCGCTGAAACCGTTGTAGTCTTCGAGTTTGAGTAGTAGTCTAGGAACTTCAGAGCTTGATGAAGCATAATTCGGTTGACTGCAGGCTATGAGGATGTGCGGGATTTCGACGGACAATGGATCCGAATCGAGATTAAGAAGGGTGATCTCATAGTGTTGCCACCTGGCATGTACCATCGCTTCATTCTGGATGAGAAGAAATACCTCAAGGTATAGTTATCAGTGAAACAGCGAAATTGTACATCAAAATTGAATTCATTTGGTTCGATTTTGTAACAACCGATGGCTCCTCTCGATTAATCTCAATGCTTGGATCAGGACCTAGTCTTTAGTGTGTCTTGTCTACATTGTGAACATGTGCATTCTTCAGCCCCTGAACCATGCGGATTTGGCTGGCAGGCGCTTCTGTTGTACCAAGGAACACCGAGTCGAATACAGTTTGAAAAGAACCCCGAGACCGACGCCATGGAAGTCCGGTATATGACTTGCCTAAATTATCTGTAATGTAGGACTAATTACCTCGCTTCTGGAGAAGCAGATTTTCATAGTTTTTTACTTGACTATCAATTATTAACGCGCTGTGCGCGTGGATATTCTACAGGGTGGCCTACGTCAATTCAGTGCTGGGGCCGGAGCTGGAGTCGCCGCCGGAAAAGCAGCACATCGCCGAGCCGGAGAACCACGCCTTGGCAGCGGCAGTAAAAGCTATGGAAGCAATCAGAGTGTGAGAGAATTGTTGTATGTACTAATAATTTCACTACCTTCAGTTAGCCTCAGTGGTAAATGCGCGCTGTACATCAAGGAACATGTGTGGACCTCTCCCTAGCTGCAGTTATCCGCAACAAGGTTTAATTTAGCGATGTGGGGTCAGTTGATACATCTTACGGACGCGCTTACCTGCTTCGGCTGCAGACTACCAGGTGTTTGTATGTTAAATAACAGGGCATCTCGTATCTGGGCTTCAGTGTACTTCAAACTCTCATGTCCAGAATAAGGATAACTACCTCTTAGATCCGTTGAGCGGCACATTATAAACAATGTTTTCTTCAACATTGTCGGTGGATGAAAGTATGTTCGTTTGTGTTAGTCTAACTGCGCACTCTTGATCAGACTGTTAACCAATGGAGTGTAAACAAAAACTCTTCAAAGGAAATTGATATCACTCAGAGAAAATGGCTTCCATTTGACTGTCAACCTTGCGAGAAATTATGTAGGAACAACCTTGCAAAATCTCTGAATAATGAGCGCAAAGTTGACAGACTTGAGTTGGATACAGAGCATGATAGTAAACCAGTTAAATTGTCTTTTTTCGGAAATTGGGTTTCTTCATTTACATTCTAATCTACGTTGGTGGAATTTAGTGAGACAAGGCTGATGTCTAATAGACAATCGAAACCGCCTATCAATCCATCGTACACAATCAAGCAGCCTGTCTAAAGGATGAGGCAATCACGAATGAAGGTCATGAGTAAACATTGAATGCTAGAAACATACTTCCGCTACAGAAGCAAACAAACCTGCAGAGAAATCTGCAATGAGAGAAAAGATAACCTTCTATGTTGTTTGTTCGCAGCAAAAAGCCAAACCGTCCGACGTTTCTTTAAATCGAGAAAGGTTTAATGCCAACCACAAACGTAGTCCAAGAAGGCTACCAGTCCAATGGAAGCAGGATAAAGGGCTATTCCAATGAAAGCCATCCAAAGTGGGAAAGTTGTGCGGAGAGCTGCCACGGAGCCCATCAACAAAGTCGCAAAGAAAATTACGAAAATTTCGGCTGAGAAATCCCATTGAAGGCTTCGGAAATACACAATTGCCAAGAAAATTCCCAAGCACATGGTGTTATTCATGGTCACAGCACCATAAATCTGCACGGTCAAAGTCAAAGGAAATGAATCAGGTAATGGGCATTCACACAAGACTAAACTAGCATAGTAAAAGACACATCAATAACGCTAAGTCTCGAAACCTTGAAAAAGGAAATGTACAATCACAACAAAATTCAATCTCGAGTCATCGGAACACATTTCTCTTCCAGATCACCACTCTATTAAGGACAGTACCTAGACAATCAAGGCTATCAGTTGCTTTGAAACGTGAATTGAGGAACAGACTGTACAACCCAGGCATGAAAAAAAGCCCGCCATACCTGAGAGTAAGTCATGGAAATGTTCTTCTTGCGTTTCCTCTTGGCGAAGATGAGAGAAGAAATTGCTTCGCTGGAATTGGTCGCTAGAGGTGTAGCAATGAAGGAGATGAAAAAGGGAGAAATTCCTGAAGCTTCAGAAAAGCCACTAATTGCATCTACTAAGGGGTCAGCAAAAATGGCAGCAACAGCAGCTCCAGAAAGCAAATAGAAAATTGCTTTTGTGATGACCTGGGCTTTGGTTGGGTCACTGTTGCTCTCATTCTCGTCGTCGTCATCGTTTGCCTCGTCCGCTAAGGACGCTAAATCCAACTTGGCATTCTGCATCCATGATTAACTTTCAGCTGGACGAACATGTAATTGCACGTCGACAAATGTACATTGCTACCTTCTCCACAACAATACATATCCGTCATGTGGAGAACCTGGGGGGTCAAATTCTCACCTGGGCCTCGAAGTCCCAACCGTGGTGTTCAGAGGGAGAGGATCTGTCCACTTTGACTGTGTTCGTTTTCGGGAGGCTAATGGATTTGGAGGACTTTATCCACCGCTTTATACCCTCAAGGAATTCGTCCACCGAAATTCGGTTATCCCTTGAGACGTCGAACTCCAACATCCAATGCTGAAGCTCTTCTTCGTCAGGGACTTGGCCATTATCACGCTCAATCCCTAAACCCAGAATCAAACCCCTCAGCTCCGTCATGGTGAGGTGTTCATCATTGTCTGGGTCGAAATGACGGAATAACCTTGTAAAAAACGGAGCACAAGTTTGGGTTAGTCCGAGTAATATCTAAAATTGAAATTTAACGTACTTCTTGAGTCGCAAGACAGAAATATGCAAACGACGATTCAACTTCAGACTGCTGAACAAGCAAACCAGAAACAGCATGATCTTTTGCACTAAGCGAGAAGATAAGCGTGCTCAAAAGATAAATTAAAAACTTACTTCAGCAGCACCTCCTCATTTGGTTCACTATTGGCAGTGAAAAGGCTGCCCCAGTTTTGTTCATGTGAAAGGTGGGATACCTTATGAAGAGCATGGTTCCTCATATACCTGTGCTTTGCCCATGCTATTCTTCTTTCCTGTATCCGAGGAGCCATAAGCTGCATCCAATTGAACAGAGCAATACTCTTTGTGAGATTTATTCAATTTTCGAATGCAAAGAATGATAACCGCGCGTTTTATCAAGCTTCTCAGAAACCCCTTCGAAAGTCTCAATCACCTGATAACCACAGTAGCTGAAGAGCCCAATTACTGCGATAACAGCTGCGATTGCAACAAAGACATGTCCCTCTGCATTCCAGTCTAGTAGTCGAGGTATCTGTGCCACAATATAGGGCAGAAGAGTGGCCATCATTATCCACGACGCCCATTTCGTTTGTTGATCGGTCGTAACTCCCGTTTCTGTTTCCATAGTGCCCAGTAACTCAACATCAATCCAGTGGCATCTTAAAATAAAAATAAAAATAAAACTATAATAGACGTAAACGCATGGGTAAATTAACATGGACAACTCGAAGAGTAAATATATTTTCATGGATGATCAATACCTCGCGTACGAGGGTGGTGAAGAGTGTGAATAAGCTGTCTCTGAGCACCAAAAGGACACAAACAGTGTGGCGAGTTTCATGAAGAGAATAAAATGTGGGCACCTGTAAGATGAAAACCTTTGGTTAATGTCCGATCCTTGGCCACAAGCTTGGAATTAGCGAAATGCGGCACGAGATCACATCGGCCGACGATAAGGCACGATCCCCACAGCGCCGTGAGCAACATAACCGACGATCCAGCAAGCAAGCCCATACCTACGAACACTTTCTCCTGTGCTTCTGCCAGGTTTGCTCCAAATCCCGAGACTACATTCAAGGAAAACTGGAATTCACATGTGCTGGTTGATCGGTTGAGCAAAATAATCCAACTAGATGCCCAAACTAATGCAATTTCAAGTCTAAAAGCTGTTTACTCAACAATAGGCGATACTTTTACCACTAAACTCGACCACAACAACCCTCACGTAACAATGAAGATTACGTGAACGAGCGGTCATTCTGACGTTTGACATCGTTCTTAGTGATTGCGCTAAGACTAGGACCCAAACAGCTAGAGCCAATGATAAAGAAAGCGCAACGCACCAACAGCTATTCAATATTAGTAGAAGTAGGACTTGTAAACGATTTTCTCAGGAGGATCGAATCGATTCATGTAGATTCAAGTAGGACAGCAGAAGAAGTAAGCCCGCTAACGGACACTACATTAACTGAATTTGTAAATTCCCAATGAGCAAGTACCGATGCAAATTCGAGTTAGAACAGGTTAAGTTCAGGACGACTGTCTATTGTCACTCACTTTCAAGGCCTTTGAAGTCTGCGATCAACTTTCAAGGCCTCAGCTAAGAAACTGGTACACATTCAAAGAATCCAATGGTGGTCCGGTGGATTTTTAGCAATAACAATACAGGGACACGAAAAAAAAAAAAAAAAAAAAAAAAAAAACACACACACACACACACACACACACAAACAAAACATACATAAACCATTCTTTAAAGAAAGTCGAAATTAATAGACACATGGGTCACAAGACTCCAAAACCCCCGTTCTCAAATAGGTTAAAATATCTCATCTCTGCATTCGCGAGCACGTACCAGTGATGAGCAATGCATCGGGAAAGGCACCAAAAATAGGCAAAAGAAGGCCCCCAATGATACCGGGGCTCATGACCGTCAACAGAAGCTCACTCCCATCGGACAAAAGTTGCGCGGCCTGGAGCATCATGTACCCGTAGATCACTAGAAGCGCTGCGTTTCCTCCCAAGCTCACCGAGCAGGGCATGACCCCGTATTTCTCTTCACACGTACCACTTTGGCCCACAAACCCCCCAAAGCCCCTCCACTGCCTCTCATTGTCTTTCTTTCGCAGCACAGACTCAATCTTCCACGCATTGCCTCTATCGCTGTATGGCGTGGCCTCCGTTTCCCCGTGCACTAACACTGATTGCAACATCAATGCCACTACAAGCAATGCGATGCTTGATTCAAGCAACTGCGTTCCTCGCGACTTCATCGTGCCGCCAATCGTGCTCCTCCCTCGTCCCTATGCGCACTCTCTCGCGAAATCACTTTGTAACTAATATCGCCGCTTTGTAGAATACCCAGGAATCCGAATCTCAGAATCTGGGATGCAGTGGTTGCAACAGGACTCCTAAATTACGGATTTGCCGCGCGGACGCCATTTGCATGGGCATAGTGACTGGTACCCTCGTGTAGGTCCAGGTTAACGGGAGGTGAAACGGGTAGGTAAAACGGCACGTCCTATTCTGCTGGGTCTTGCTTAGAAAACGGGCGTTACATGAGAGAGACCAGAAGTCGCTTATGACTGGGAGTCTTGAACTGCTAGGCGGCTCCAGATGGAATACTGCTTGCATTTTAAGCGGTCTAAGCTTTAAATCCAATTGTAGTTAGTGAAAGTTAAAGTGGAGTTCACAAGTATCTGAACAGTGTTTCAGCTAACTTTACTGAAGGATTCAAAGTTTGCGAGTGGCAGGATGCTGCACACCCTAATTTAGTCCCTCGAAAAAGATAAGAATATGTGAATCGACAGTCGAAATCCAGCATGGTGTCCACGAGCATTGCAATATCGACGAAGTTATCAAACTGGAGCCTCAGCTTTTGCTACTGAAAAGAAAGTCCTCGTGCATCAAGCCCTTGCGCAGTAGGATCCTCTCTGCTACAACAGAAAACGAACTGAACTAAACCTAAAACACACTCACGCATATCGCAACTTGTCCTCTCGAAATTTTCCCAAGAAAAACAGTCCATTCGCCTCGGCTTCAGCACACTCATACCAGAGTTTCCACAGGGCCAGTGCATGGCATAGACCTCGGGTGTTGATGAAGCTGCGCGGCTCGTACCAGAATCTGATCCGTCATGCTCGTCTATTTTAGGGCTTTCGTGGATACAATAGCACAAGCATTTGACCCGGAGATGTTGCACTGGGTGATGAGCGAAAATGCTCGCCAAGAACTCCAAATAAAGAAGGATTCGCAAACAAAATGAGTTGTCCCAATCTCGAAGACGCGCAGTTAACACAGTGGGATAATACTCCTGAATTTCCTATCAAGTGGGAAGATTGATCCCAACATCTCAGCTCTCGTTTCCCATTGGTTACAACCCCTCCCTAAGCTTCTGATCGTAAGTTAATAACTACAGTAAAGTACCTTACCTCTCCGCAACACCGCAAAACGCCTCCGCAACACGGATTCGTGAACTGGAAGCCCCGGGACTACACCTCGTGCTCGCCTTAAACCAGGCTCTGGATCCGGAGCAGAAGGGAAATACCATTACTCTGCAGGTTACGAAATTAGAATTCAGCGAAACACTTCGCCATCGATCTGCTCGCGCGGCGGAGCCGCGAATCAATCCGCAGCGGAACCGCCCTTACGGACACCACTTGCCGCAGCTATGCTCTCCTCCCTGCGTATAAATACGCCGTGTCGGTATATTGTATATTTACGGTGTAATCGTATTCCGCTTATTACGTATCGAAAGGATCTACGTTTTGGTAGGTCTTGTGTAAGTCATGGAAGGGGTGATGTATTCTTTAGATGATAAAATGGGAATGTATTAACCTTGATTCTATGGTGTAAGAGATTCAATGGTCATTGAATAACAACCTAAACTTGATTCTAAAATAAATTATTCCATATTTTTAAAATATTTGAGCATTTTGTGATTTATTATGACTAAGAATGTGTAATATGGTGGATATAAACTTTGTTTTAATGTTTGGTCAGTTTTACTCCATTAATAGTACTCTACCATTGATATTCTATTACTAAACTAATTTAAAATTAATTTTTAAAGCAAAAAATTGTATAGTACAGTTAAAAGGGAAGGAACTTTATTTTTTGCATTAAAAGCATCAAAAGTTATTGGAAGTTACTTTACTTGACAAAGTAACACAAAGTATTATTTCTGTATAAAGATATGAGAGTTTTATATTTAGGAGCATATTCAATTAAGCTATCTAAAACTTAAATCAACCTACTACATAATTGTGTAAGTTACTCATGGTGCTCTTATAGTATTGTAAAAAATAATTGTATTTCTTTACTAATCCACAATATCCTTAATTCTTTGTTGAAGAGCAATGCTACTTCTACCAAAGTTGTCATATAAATCATTATAGCAGGCTTTTGATTTAGTTAATGATATTGTATATGTACAAACATATGCAATAGTAAAGAAACCCTTAGATTCCATTAATATCACTATGAAGTGTGATTACAACTAACAATACAACCTTCAAAATGACTAAGAGGCCAATGTCAAAATACAACATCAAAACATAGCTATGTACTTAATATACTACTTGTTCTTTCTCAATGTAAAATTGCTAATAACTAATAGTTGGAGGCATATCTTAGATTGCAACAATAAACATAATTATTAGCTTATTGATGTCAATGGTAATCCTATTGCTTGCCAACTTTAAACTAACAAGCATGCATCTATTGCATAGATGCTTGATTTCAGGGTAGCTTCAAAATGCATGTTAATTGCCTTGCAAATAAAAAAATATTAAATTAGCACATCAATAAAAATGTATTGGCAAAAAGTACTTTAGCACCAAAAAAGATTTAGATGCATTTAGGCAAAGTTGGCAAAGCAATGTCTATCCCTACACCAAGCATCTTTTTAAAATGCATTGGAATAAGTTAAAGGATAAGGGTCAAGTTATAATGGCACTTCTTAATTACCTTGACATCATTGAGATCAAGGATTACAAGGAGCATTTGTTGCTGCATGAATAAATAGATTTTCTAATATTATAAATGTAAACTTATTAATTATGGAAGGAGTTCATTCTATACTAAAAGATATCTATAAGATATAATCTAAGATTTCCTAAAAGTATATACAAGTTTATTACAAGCCTATATGAATTAGACCAATAAAATTAGAAGTCAAGTTTTAAGAAAGCACACATTTTTGTTATAATCATAGCATGTTGTTCTATAAGAATGTGATTTGGAAGGTTTGCATTTGCATTTAAAGAAGTGCACAAATATTTTTTTAAGATGGATAAAATAAAATATTTATATTTAGAGATTTTTATTCAAATTGTAGAACTGTTATGAGTCAAGGACAAGAACTCGATGAAAAAACAGTTCAGACAAGTAAGCCTTCACTCAAAGAAAAGCAACAAAATATGAATAATAAGTATGTATATTGAAAAGAGAAACTAGAATGGCTATTGCCAAAAGACAAGAAAACTAGAGACCCTTGAAACTAGACTAGAAGCAAGAAAGGAGTTGACAAGAGTGAAGAAGCCTTCACTCTTGTCTCTATATATACTATCTAACTAGGGGCTACGTGGCAACGTTCTATAGGACCTCCAATATGTGTTGACTTTGTAGGACACATGCCTTGACTTACAAGGCAAGTTTTTCTACATGTGGGCCACATAGTTAGCTTGATCTTCAAGCTAACAACATGTGTGGCACATGGCCAACTTGTTGACCACGTTTCTAATCCAAAAAGTCAATTAAAGACACCTATGAAGTCAAAGCAGCGTCTAGGAAGTTTCTAGGAAGCTTCTATATTAAATATTATAGAATTAACTTACTTTTGCCTACTTTTACTTACTTCTACCTATTTCTATATGTAATTATTAGCTTACATGATTATGGCTGTGACATTACCCCCCCTTCTAGAGACGAATTCCACGAGGAGCGGTCATCATATGTTGAGGAAATCTATGATGCGACGAATTGTATTCACCACATACTCTGATCTCTGTTCTCTTCGAAGATGATTGATAGGGCCTCTCAACCATCGGTAGTGTCCCATACCAGGATAGGAAGACCACCCAGTTATTTGATCATTGTTGAGGCCTTCGTAACTTTTTTTGAATAGAATATTCGGAACACCATCAGGAGTTGTTCCTACCTCTAGCAAAATCACCAAACATCGAGAGTCCCTTCCCAACTCGTGATACCAAACGCGTTGTATCTCACCATCTATTCGAGGAAGAACATGTCGTTCTTGAAGATCTTCATCTCGATTGCGTCGTCTTGAAGGTTGTGACAATCGTAATGTCTCATCCGGCAGGTCAGCAAACGAAGGTTCTTAAGTTGAATCCGTTGGTTGTTGGCTCTCCATCTAATTAGCGTCACAAATGTAAAGAAGTTACAAACAAGGATAGGAAATTGAATGTTATCTTGCCTCAATCTTGTCTCTTTTATAAGAGAGATTTTCATCTTGGTTTTGATGGATGTCGTTGATGAAAAAATTTGACTTTAGCTGATGCATTTCCTAGATTCCTGGATGGCTCTCATGTGTGTTCACTAATATCATATCCGCGCCAATGAACAAGGTATACCAGCTTATTTCGGCGCCGCCTTGAGTCTAATATCTCTTCCACCTCAAATTCTTCATTATTATCTACTTCTATAGGAGGCGATGGCATTTGTCTTCTTCCTTGTATATCCACTGTCTTATATGGTTCAAGAAGAGACACGTGGAATACAGGATGGATCTTCATTGACTCCGGTAGATGTAACCGATATGCAACTGGGTTGATCTGTTCAGAAACAGAAAAGGGGCCAAGCCTACGATAGTCCAACTTGTCACAAGGTCGAGTAGTCTTGATATTGCGATGAAGTAGCCATACCTTATCACCCACGTTGAGTTGTGGTTGCTCCTTACGATATAGATCTGCGTTTATCTTTTGTCATTCTTGAGCTTCCTTCAATTGCGTCTTCATTATTGCATGTAACTCTGACAACCGATTTGCCATATCTTCTGTTGCAGGATTATCAACTTTTGAAAAATCAAAAGCATCAAGTCGTGGATGATAGCCATAATTGGCAAAGAAAGGTATTTGTTGCGTGGAAAAATGTACCGTATTATTATAAGCAAACTCTGCCAATGGCATAAGGGTTGTCCAATCATCTTGTTGGTAGTTGATGGTACACCTTAAATACTGCTCGAAGACTTGGTTTACACGCTCTGCTTGTCCATCAGTTTGAGGATGGAAAGCCGAAGATAACTTTATGTCCACTTTTAAAATCTTGAAAAGGGTCCTCCAAAATCTCGACACAAATTGAGTTCCCCTATCTGATATGATATCTTTAGGTAATCCATGATAGCGATAGATATTATCAATGAAAAGCTTAGCTGTTTCTTCACCTGTGATAGATTTTGTACGTGGCACAAAATGTGCTATCTTGGTGAAACGATCTACTATCACAAATATAGAATCATAAGATCTTGAGCTTGGAAGATCTGTGATGAAATCCATAGAAACAGAAGACCATGGTTGTTCTGGTATAGGTAATGGCTGAAGAAGTCCATAAGGTCGATGACGAGGAATTTTTGATCTTGAACAAATATCACATGATTGTACAAAGTCTTTGACTGACTTTCACATTTGTGGCCACCAAAAATCTCTTGATATGAGTTCCAAAGTCTTATTATATCCAAAGTACCCTGCTGTTGGAAAGTCATGACATGCTTGAAGAACACGTAAACGTGCTTCTCCTTCTGGAACATATAGGCGTCCTTCAAAATATAATAGATTATTCTTGAACTCGAACTTAGAAGGATCATGAGACTTGAAAGAATTATTCTCGATATCATAAACAAGAGGGTCTGAGGACATACTGGACTGGATTTGCTTGAGAAAAGTTGAATCAACAGTCAATGTTGATTTCATTGCTCGGAGATGAAATTGCTCCGGTTTCAAGAGGACCATTCTTTGTTGCTCAAAAGCTGCATCTCTGTCTTTTGGTATAAAATAAAAACGTCTAGATAGGGCATCAGACAAACCTTGTTGTTTTCCTGGCCGATAAGTGATAATAAACTCGAATCTTGACAAAGACATACTCCAACGAGCTTGACGACGATTCAACACGCGTGCTGACATGAAATACTCGAGGTTCTTGTGATCCGTATACACAGTGACTGGACTAGAAGCGCCTTCTAGATAATGACGCCATTCTTGAAAGGAATCCACGATCGCAAGAAGCTCTTTATTGTGGATCTCATAATTGATCTTGGCTGTTGAGAATTTTCTTGAATGAAAAGCTATCGGATGAAGTTTGTCATCTGTTCCCATTTGTGATAAAACTGCACCCAAGGCAAAATCGGATGCATCTGTTTCCATAAAAAATGCCTTAGAAAAGTCAACACGATATAAGACTGGTGCAGAGACAAACGATGTCTTCAAGGCTTCAAATGCTGCTTCCGCTTCTTGATTCCATTGAAATTTATCTTTACTAGTCAAGCGTGTAAGTGGAGTTGTAACTCATGAGAAATCTTTGATGAAGATTCGATAGTAATTGGCAAATCTCAAGAAACATTGGACATCTCTTACTGTCCTTGGAATCTTCCAATCCATGATTGTTTTGACTTTCTTA